CTTCACCCTGAGGGAACTGTGGGGCTGGGCAGACCAGCACAGTGTGTGGGTTGGTAGGGGAGAGGAACAGGGGAGATCCCAGTTAGGGCAGCCCAGGGGTACCTGGAGTGAGGCTTGGGGGATGACAACGATCAGCCAGAATTCAATGATAAATCATGGCATCCCTTGGGTTAGAAGAGACCTTCAAGTCCAGTCATTAAGCCATCACTGCCAGGTCACCACAAACACAGCTAGAAAGCAAGGACTCTGTCAGTATTTGCAGAGCTCTTCAAAGAATGAGTCTAGATCCTGTTGTAGGCAGACACCCGGGCCACACGTTTATTGTGGAGGTGCCAGGTCAGTGCTGGGCACACAGCAAGGGAGCCACAAACCAGCTCTACTGGGAGGCGTTTGCTTGGGCCTTCCTCTCCTCCATCATCCTGTGCTTCTGCTTCATCAGGCAGGTCCTGGCGTTCCCGTGGACACCCAGGTCACCATCTGGGGAAGAAAAGCAGACAGCTGAAATGTCTTCTCAAAAGCAGTAAGCCTGCGTTGGGTGGGGGAGAGGTGGCTCAGGGGTCCCTCTGCCAGCACTGCCACACTCACATCTGTCCTGGTAGGCCTTGGTGACCTGCACCAGCAGCTCTGCCTCCTTGGCACAGTTCTGCAGGCGGTTGGGGCCCTCCCTCTGGTTGCAGGCTCCCAGCCTTTCCCGGACTATCTCCACGATCTCCTGATCGACCATCCTGTGGGGAAGATGATGATGGAGCCACAGCCAAGAGATGATAGAAAAGCAGAACAAAAAGGGGTGGTGCTCCCCTGGGGAGGGTCCTCTCTGGGTTTTCACAGCATCCTGGCCTGTCCTGCAGGAACCAGGCACAGCAGGAGGACACACCCTGATGCCACTATGGGGACAGCACCACTATGAAATGGGCCCTCCTGTAACGGGCTGGGCAGGAGGTGCTGCCTCAGCACCTCAAAATCCACGAAAAGGGCCGAGTTCAGGCCAACCCCTGCAGCTCCCCGGGCTGGCTAACCAGAGCAGCGTGGCCTGGCGTGGGGACAGCTAGTGACAGCCATACCTGTCCCTCCTCCACTGTGCTTCAGCCTCGAAGAAGCAGAGGTAGTCACCCTCCAGACACTCGCTCACGTCGGGCACGCGGCGGAACTTCTGGTGGTAGTAGTAGGTCTTGTTCTTGGCTCGCTGCCGCTCGATCCACTCTGCAGGGACAGCCTGTGCTCAGAGCCCTGCCCCAGCTGTGCCCAGCTGCACCTCTGTCCAGGCTGTGTCTGTCCCAGTGTCTGCTGTGCTCCTGTGTCCCAGCTCCCTTTGCCTGTCCTAGCGCCACGTGATGTTGTCCCATGTCCCTGTGTCTGTCCCTGTGTCATGTCCCTGTCCCAGGGTCTGTGCTGTGTTCCTGTGTCCCACACCCGGGTGTCTGTCCCCTACCTCTCTGTGTCCCTGTGCCTTCCATAGCCCTGTCCCAGTGTCCATGCTGTGTCCTGTGTCCCACCTCCCTGTCCTGCTGTCTGTGTCCCGTGTCCCCCTCTGTGTCCCACACCCCAGTGTCTGTCC